CCCAAAGTGAAATACACGGTGGCACAAAAAAGTTTTAGCAGTTTAAATGCGCCCTAATGGTCGCTTGTGGCGCCCTCTTGAAGATACAATGAAATCGTTGATAAATTCGAATATCTCCTCCCAAAAAAAACCCGGATTCAAAATTTCACGAAATTAGCTCGAAGTGGTCGAAAGATATTAAAGGAAATGTTATTTATTTTTTCAACTTCAACACCATGTCACCAAGGAGCACTTTAAGCAAAAATTTTATGTGAAGTACCCCTACTAATTTAAAGTGTTTTATCTGGCGAAGTTTGTAACTTTATTTTTGTTACACCCTGTATATTGAATTTACTTGTAAGTGTCCATAATGTTAAATTATGTAAATTCGTTTTCATCTAAAAACAATTTACTTTTTTTGTACCTATTAAAATAATTAAACATATTTTGACTAGTGAAAAATATTTTAAAAATCGTCAAACCTGCACTTAATAATTCAGGCCTCAAGAATACTAAAAAAGTATGTGCCAATCTCGTATAAAAGAGTTTTATATGTTTTAAACCCTTAAATATCTACGTATTTAATGGACACTAGTGTCTACTTTCTTTTTTATTAATTAATACTTTTACTGTTCAGTGCGTTGTTCTGTTTCGCAGATTTCATTAAATTCTTTTCTGTATACTTTTAAACCTGTTTTGAGAGGGATTTTGGTTTAACGCATAGTTAAACAAAAAAGTTTTTCACGGGGACCTTAAAGTCTGTTTTATTGCCCTTTCTAGTTTCACGCCGAAAATGTAAATTTCCGCTCTTTATTTACCGCTACTTTTGCAACATATAAAAAGCAGCCTACTGCCTAGGGATATTTTAGCGATTTATACTGGTAATCTGACTAACTATTTTATCTAACTTCGTATTTTTTCTATATTTAAATTTATATAGAGTGCCCCACATAACGCCGATTCTTCCACAACTCTGATAATAATATTAAAACAAAATCAAATTAAACTTGCACCTAACATTAAAAAATTATTTCGATTTCGAAATTATCGATTGTACAAGGTGTCCTATTTCTGTTGGACCTTACTTCGTTTTAATCATAGATCTATATTAAATTTTACATAGACAGATGCAAAATTTGCGAGAGATTCGCTGGATTTCATATTTTGTATTGCTGTAGTTTAATAATAATAACAATAATTATCATGTTTACAAATTTAAAAAGACGTTTCCAATTCTCAAAAACATTTTACACATTGTTTAACTCTGTTTAACTTGATTGATATATATCTACATTTATTTTCGAATTATTCTGCAGGTATTTTACTTATATAGAAATAAAAAGAAATTATCGTCCACTTTTCATGTTAATAAAATATTTTTACGTTGTTATTATTATTATTATTTATTTCAAATTGTAACTTTTGAATAGTTTTTTAATGTTATTTAAAATATTTTAATTACACACAGACATAATTGATTTTTTTTACTTACATGCAAAAAGCAATAAACCACCAAATAAAAGCAACGGCAACAGAATGTCCATTATTAATGTATGCACAATTTTAATACTCTACATTGCACTATATATAGGTACATGTTTGTAATAATTATTATTTTTATTTTCCCATGTTTTCCGCAAGCGGAAACTCGTTAAGAAAATTGTTCACACTTTAAACGCAATATTGTAACGTTGCCAATTTGCAACAATATAATAAAATTCATTAAGTCGTCATTGTGAAATAAAAGATTAATAAAGTAGATAACTCTAATGGATAATTTTTCATCGTAGTAAATGAGTAAATTGTAAAATTATTTGTTGTATAATCTAAAAAACACACTCTTTAGAAAAGGGAAAAATTAAGTACTTACATGCCCAAAGCAACAAGCCGCCAATAAGTAGCAGCGCCACCAAACCATCCATTTTTATTACACCTGCACAATATTAATAACTTAAATATTATTTTTAGTCTACTAATACAATTGTATGTCAAAATAAGCATTTATTCCGTACTGTCCTAAGATTTTCGGTTCTAAAAAACATTCAAATGACTGATAATATGTGAAATAAATTTTGCAACACTAGCACTGTTTTCAACGCTGTTAATAAATATATTAAGCTAAATAAATAATTTTATAAATATGTTTAATATATTGTTTACAATGGAAATAATAAACAGCAAGCTGTTCACTCTTCTAGAAGGGGGTCAGTTGTTCAATCGTTTTTAACATAAATAAATATATTATTATTGTATAACAAACTGGAATAACTTCTGTTTTCATATATTATACTCATACATAAATTTGGCAGGCAAAAGTTATTGGTTATGAAGGAAAAAATAAATTCAAAACTGATTACGATAAATCAGAGTAGATTTAGAGATGTTTTTATTTGTTTCTAAATTTCGAATATCATTATTTCAATTTTTGCATATTATTATGCAGTGTGATCATCTTAGACTGAAACAAATATTCAATTTATTCCGGATTTTTTGTTTTTCGAAATAAAATCCTTTTACATCGTATGACACTAGAATTTTATTTCAGTGAGCAAAGCCTACTTATTAATGTTTCCACTTTATCATTCCTGTTCTTGCTATATAAACACAGTAAATAATCGTAAATAAATATATGAAATGTTCCAAATTTGTTCTTTTTAATGTTCCATTTTTAATTAAATAATAATTTTTAATTTTAATTAATGCACCATTTAATGGCATAAGCTAAGAAAACACGTTACACAAAATGCAACCGCAATTATTATTTTTTTAACTTCCCTCAAGCCTCCATCTTATTCTAAGCATTTGTTACATTACTTCCGAATATTTTGAATATAACAGTTTAAGAAGTAATTTCCCAGCATACCACAGTTATTCTGCTCCGTTGGTATTTTGTACACTTTTGGTTTAGTTGTGAGTATATCTCACAGGAAGAGGTCGTCTAACATTTAAAAAGGGAAATTTTATTCGCTTACTTATTTTAATTACGAATATGGGGATAAAAATATTTTCACTTCTAGATATGAAAATGAGATCAAACTTATGATCTTATATCTTCTTAATTAAAATAGTAAATAAGTAAGTTTCATATGTTAATTCAATTTCGTCGCAAGCAGACTTCTCGGCTTAAGAGAAAAACCAAATTTTATAATAATAACTTATAGCCCAATCATTATAGACATGAAACAGCCTGTTTCGGGAAAAAAATACTATTAGAAGTTTCTCTGCGGAATATTGTTTGGAAACGTGTTATAAACAAAATATCAAAAAATCAACTCGAGGCTAGTTGGGAAACTTTGTTTTAACTGTGGTCAAATTTATGGAAAAGTGGTTTTTTGACTCGCGTAAAAAAACTATTATTCATAGCGAAAAAAAGTTTATATAAAAAAGGTAGGTAGGTATTAAATGAGCCTATAAAATGAGACAAGTCCGATTAAATTCCGATAATTTGTTTATGCGCAAGAGCTCAAAAATGGTCGAAAATGGCCGTTTTTTTCAATTGCTAATAACAATTAATGCAATTTTAGTTAGTACTATTTTTCTTCGAATTTAAAAAAAATCGTTGTTCTAAGTTGATTAGAAGCTGATATATATATTCTTTTATTTAATCGCAGTGACCTTAATTATTAATATTAAGAGCCGAAATTTGGAGAGAGTATACATTAAGAGTTATATTTTCATGTCCTACATTAACATTAAGGTGAATTCAACTATTTAATTGCGAAAAAGAAGATAGCGACGATGCGTTCTATTACTTGGTCTAGCAAACGAGTGGCTTCAAATCGATGGAGCTGGAAAAATTAGCCATATCTAGGTTAATAATGAACCTATCGAGATGATTCTTTTTTTAATTTTAGGTAGCGCGAAAATTCATGAGCATTGAATCTATTGTATTAACGAAATTAACATTATTTCAAACCGAGATTTAATTGTTTATTTAGTAAATCTCGGGTTTAAATAATGTTAATTTCGTTAATACAATAGCTTCAATGCTCATGAATTTTCGCGCTACCCCAAATTAAGAAAAAGGATCATCTCGATACGTTCATTATTAGCGCGTAGCGCGCATGCTCCGCCTCGCTCTTCTCACTCGTTCGCCAGGCCGAGTAATAGAAGGCATCGCCTCTATCTTCTTTTTTACAATTAAATAGTTGAATTCACCTTAATGTTAATGCAGAACATGAAAATATAGCTCTTAATGTATACTTTCTCCAAATTTCGGCTCTTAATATTCATAATTAAGGTCACTGCGATTAAATAAAATAAAAATTCTCAGCTTCTAATCAACTCAGGACAACGATTTTTTTTAAAAATTCGAAGAAAAATAGTACTAACTAAACTATAGAAGTTACTACTTCATTTTATAATAATTACCTATCTCAACAATATTAAAATTTTTTCAGTCATTTTTAAAGAAATTAAATTTGAAAAATTAAATTGTCAGTAAATGCATATATCAATTTAGGTACAAAAACAACTAATGATCGAAACTCTACAACGCCTGTGAGCTTGGGAAAAATGAATTGAAAATAGCATTTTCTTAGCCAACGCCAAACCAATGAAGCTTTCTAGCTGAAATTTTTACCACTTATTAAGGGTGTAAAATGCCTAAAATATCCTGAATTACAAGTGTCTGNATCGGACCACCGCCATTTTGTAGCTATTTTTATTACGAACAAAATCATGTCCTAAGCATTTTTTCGTACTAAGTCATCCCGCTGAGTTATTTAAAGAAAACCACTAAAAAAAATTTTTTTTCACGATTAAATTGTTAATAACTTTTTTTCCTGATAAAATACTTTGTCAGCAAATTATCCTGTTATTGTACTCATCATTTAAAGTATTCCTGTGTAGTTATTTCCGAGTTATCAAGGAAATGTCATCAACAGTAACTTTTCGGCCTCTGGACTATATAGGCTTTAAGGGATGACTTGCTTACATAGAGAAAAAAATAAAATATAAGTGTTATTTATTAAAACAATTTAGTTGTATTATTGCCAGTTTTGACAATATCATTCTTGCTTTTTGCTTTTTGATTATTGTACGTTGGCTTATTTCTGCTACCATGGCTAAACACCAACACCAGGAGCCGAGCAATCCCCAATCTGGAAATTTTGCGAATCCCACTTTCTCGTGGGGTAGGGATCTTTTACTTGCCTAACATTGCTTAGACATGAGACCAACGATTCTCTCCGAGGCATGGCATGTCTTCCTATACAAACCTCGCCTAAAGTATAGCTTCTGTGAATACACCGACATACAGGCCACTACAAAAAGAACGAGCATCGCGCGCCTTCTCCGGATATTTCGCCAAGTACTAACATGCTAATATGATCACCGTTGCTTGACTTTTCATATCAATTACATGAATGCCATGACGCCAGCGCGCACTCGCGCTTTATATCTTATAAACATTTAATAAAATTGATAGAATTATTCCCTAGATGAAAAAATGCTAGATCATTTTGATAATGTCCTTTAAACATTACTTTATTATTTGCTTTGAATAACATATTATTGTTATAGTGCATACACATTAAATTTGTCCACACATCGTTAAGCTGTATACTAAGACAGGTTTACGAATGGACCTCAGACAACTTTATGTCGCTCAACATATCTACGAAAGTTAAGGGCACTTCTGTGTACAAGCTCCTTCGTTACAATATACAGTTCTGGCGATGGACGTAAAGACGGAATTATAACGGAATTTCACTACTGCAGTTACATTTTCCCTGCATAACATACTTGAGATGAAATGAAGTTAATATGCAACGAAACATACAAAGCAGGGGAGATTTGGAGTGTCAACTTATTTCAGCACTCTCGAGGATATGGAACATTGAATAAATAATAATACTCGATAGTAACGTGCTTACATGAATTACTACATATCCTTGGAAAAGTTTCATCAAACGTGTCTCATTTTCAATGTGTTCTACTATGTGTCAATAAATACGTGCCTCGTACGTTTAATAATTTAGTAGGTGATATAATTATCTTATTGCTTTTCTTTCTCTTTTTATTTACCTTTGAATATATCTATATTATTTTTTAATTGAAAATCTAGATTTTGTATCACGTATGAATATTATTGCTGTCATGCTGTCTACTTAATAGTATAATGAAGATTGCGCACTTAAACTTACAATCAATTTTTACAGGTTTTAACGACTTTGTTAATTTAGTTCTGCAAAATGAATTTGATGTCGTTATGATTACGGAGACTTGGCTGAATGATAATATTGATTTACTTACTATAGCGATTCCCGGATATATTTTTTTTTCATAAGAATAGGTTGGGTAGAGGTGGTGGCGTTGGTGCCTACATAAAAAATACATACATCTGTCAGGAGCTTCTCTTTGATTTTATGGTAAGTGAACAACTTGAACATCTTTTTATTTTAATCAAATTGCCATCTTTTACTCTTGCTGTTGGAACTTTTTACAGACCACCGAAAACTAACATTAATGATTTTATTAACGATTTTGACAATATTTTATCTACAGTTTGTCCTATTGCTGATGAAGTTGTCTGTCTTGGAGA